AATACTAAACACACGAACTAATTAGAACTGTGAACCGATTATTTTTCCAAGAAAAAAAACAAAAATGCCCTCAATATACGATTATTTTTAATTAAAAGAAAACGTAAAGAACCGAACATGTAAAATAATGGTCCATCCAAAATGCTATGTTATAAACACCAATGAAATAAAAAATAAAAAATAAAAAAGAAACTTATTTAGTATAAACTAGAACTTAAACTTACAAATTACAACTGTTTTGTAGATGCAGAGAAGAAAGTCGACATACCATCAGATATACAAGACTCGTGAAAGAAAGATAGGAATAAAAGAGTACACAACTCGAAGAGAGGGAAAGTATGAGGAACACTCAAAGAATTTACAACTCCAAGGATAAACTTCCAGAGTAAAACTTAAGATGCTTGCTGAAATGAAGTCGCGTCCTTTTATAGACCTCTCATTTGCATTTGAAATCAGTTCAAATCCGTAAAGTTGTCGGTGGATTTGAAATCCGCAAAGTAATTGTTGGTGTATTTGAATTTCTTTGAAATCCACATAGTACTACAATGATTTGCCACAATGACCATTGCTACAGTAAAAAGTGCTACACTGACGGTTACAGTGACCGTTGCTATAATGATTTTTAGTGAAAGTTTTGATTCTTTCTTTTTTTTCATATGATTTTATCATTAGTTGTCAAGACACGTGTTCTGGATTGATTGAAGTCGAATCATTCCTTATCTTGAACAGTGTTTTAACTATGTTGTGATATAAAAAGCTCGGAGTACTCTGGATCGAAACCTTCTTCATTCAGGTTCTCATCATCTTCTTCCCGTAGAAACATTAAGTGCATCTATTTAAGCTCAATTTCAGATAAATGTTTTGTTTCTATTTGATTTAAATAGTCAAGCAACTCATTATCCTCTCCAATGACAACTAGATTAACTGGAACAATTTTTTTAAAAGTGATTTTACCCGGAACCAGTTGTGTAGTGACAAGATTATCCCACCATTTAACATAAACTTGTCTTTCAAGATTTGGGATATAATCCTACCTATCATTATCTACATTCATGACGTATTGTCATCTTATAATCCATCGAATTTCATATAAAATCTAAAAATATAAATCTAATTCTCTTTTACAAGCATTTTTTTTGAAATCGCAAAATTTTTGTTTCAATTCATTAATCAAACAATGAGTATTTCAAGAAGAGGTCCCTATGTATAAAACCAACTTTTAAACCAGTTTGAGATATCCTGTAGGCTTCTTATCTTGAATAGTATGAACTAGTTGTGAGTGCAGGCAGGATTTTGATAGCAAACTATTAAATTTCATGCCTTTATATAGTCATGATAATTAAATGACTTAACAGAAACATTTTGTACTTGGAAATATTTTGGCTTTAAAAGATCGAATCCCCATTCTCTGTAAGAAATAATGTCAAGAATTTGTTATTTTGAAAATTCAATATAATGCCCATTATTTCTATAGTTATGAACTATATGTATGGATTTATCTCTTTTAAGCTAGCCTCATAATATTCACGAGTTTTGAACTCATTCGTAGGATGAATATCATCCTTAAGGTATATAATTGCAATATCAGCTGGATGATTATTCTAGTGTTCATTTTCCACTATTATTAATAGAATTACTGTCGAAACTATATAACGTGATTTTTCATCTTGGGCATTAGGACTTTGAGTCCTTAAAGGTTGGGGAGATATTTCAATCACTTTTTTGGGCATTTGTATTAAAGCCTTCGGAATAATAGATGTTGTTACCAAGCTTTTACTTGGACTTGGAACAATTTCTATTGGTTGTTTCCCCTTCTTACGTAATTTTTAAAAATTCTCGAGTCCAAAACTCAAGCAAATAATTTGAATTACCATTAATATCTTCAATTGTAAATTCAAATTTCGAAAGTATGCCTTGCCATCGGACAAAGAGCTGTTTTGAAACCAGACTTTTAACATCCATTTCGAGAATTTCTTTTACAGATTTGCAATCAGTTCTGACAAAAATTTCTTGTTGAGTAAATTACTCTGAAATTCAATAACCGCAATGAACAATAGCTAATACTTATATTTTTACTGTGGAATACTTTTGTTAAGCAGGGTTCGAAGTTTTGGAAGTGAATCCAACTAGTTGTTCTTTGTCATGGATTCTTTGTTTACGAATCCCTCCTAATCCTTGCTGAGAGGTATATGTTTCTACTATTTTAAAACCATCAGGATTGGATAAAGCCAATCATGGCAATTTTTTAACTTTTAATTTTATTTTTCTAACCGCCTTTGTATGCTCCTCCCTCTATTCAAGAGGATATTTTTTAAGCCTTTGAAATAAGGGTTTCGCATCAAAAGCAAGAATTTTATAAAAATCAGCTTTGTAATTTAAGCATCCTAAAAACCCTTGCAATTCTTTTTGAACTTTTAAAATATCAGAAAACTTGTTAGTAAACTGTATAGCAATAGACAGAGAATATTGCACAAATTAACATAATCAAAATTAAAATTAACAAGAGCACAAATACACAGATAATATGAAGTATTAGACTAGAACTTACATAGTACAAGTAGTACAATTGTTGAAGTAGACAAGGAAGCTGGACACACCAAAATAAGACACACCACCAAATATAGAACTTGGACAAATCGGAAAACAAAAGTGAAGACTCAGAGAGGCAGAGAAAATAATACAAGCCAAAGAAGAGACTCACCACCAAATATAGAACTTGGACAAATCGGAAAACAAAAGTGAAGACTCAGAGAGGCAGAGAAAATAATACAAGCCAAAGAAGAGACTCAAAGCTTAAAACTTTTGGCGCCTGGCTCAAAGGATGTTGCCTCCTTAAAGAGGTATTCAACTCGGATTTAAAACCATTTCAAATCCGTAAAGTTGTTGGTAGACTTCAACTAGTTTGAAATCCGCACAGTATATTGTCGGTAGACTTGAATTAATTTGAAGTTCGCATAGTAACCGAATAGTAAAAGTTCTACAATGATTGCTACAGTGACTCGTTACAACAGTAACTGCAGCAAAGACCGTTGCTACAATAACTATTATAGTGACTTTTGTAAAAAAAACTAAATTCCTTGATCTTTTCTTTGTGATCGTTTTAGGTGTTGTCAAAACACATATTCTGGATTGATTGGAGTCGAGTCGTCCCTTATCTTGAATAGTATTTTAACTTTGTTGTGATGCGAAAGGCTCAGAATATTCTGCATCGAAGCCCTCTTCCTTCTGGTTTTCCTCATCTAACTAAGAGGTAGACATTTTATCTTCTTCTTCTCGTAAATCCATTAGAAACTTTCTTTTAGGCTCAATTTTAGAAATATGTTTTGTTTCTAATTAATTTAAGTAGTCGAGTAATTTACCATTTTCACTAGTAAATGTTAAATTAACTAGAATAACATTTTTAAAGATAATTTTATTTGGGACAAGTTGTGTGGTAATGAAGTTATCCCACTATTTGAAATAAACTTGTCTTTCAAGATTTAGGATATAATCTCACTTATCATTATCTCGCTTATAACATATTCCCACCTCTGGATCCCAGGGATATCATATAAAATCCAGAAATACAAATCTAGATATCTTTTACTAGCATTTTTATTGAATTCAAAAAAAAATTGTTTCAATTCTTTAATCAAACAAGGAAGTATATCAGGCATGGGTCCCACGTATAAAACCAACTTTTAAACCAGTTTGGTGTATCTCGTAGGCTTTTTAACTGGAACTGT